CCCGAAGCCCCAGCCTGGATTTGAGAGTTGTGATATTCACAGAGCCCTTGCAGTCTCTAGGCCCAGTATCCATAGGTTTGGAATCCTTTTTGGCCCCATTTCCAGCTCCTGGCTGTGCTCAGCTGTTGTGAGTGTTACTGTAGATTTTGTCAGGCAGAAGAAAGTGCTTAACAGGGCCTCGCTGGCAGGTGTGGCTCGAAGTGGCTTTTCTGTTTGTCATGGCCCATGGCAAGATAGGATGGAGGGAAGATGGTGGCAGCTGTATGGGGACTCTTAGGGAGTGCTGGTCTGTCCAACAAGTGTGAAATTCTGAGGTTGGCAACAGAGCGGAGTCAGAGGGAAAAACCTTTAACTTGGAAGCGTGCAGGAAAGGCCAGTTCCTCCTTGCAGCGGGTGTCTGGCCGTTCAGCAAATACCCCATTACAAAACACAGGCTGCTAAGTAAACTTCACTGCAAGAACCATGCCGGAGATAAGGAGCACGGTCAGGCCCAGGCAGCCACTTAGCCATGAAAATTGCCTCATACGGCGCAGGCGAGGGCCCAGCAAATGTGGCTCTGGGCAGGCGAGGCAGCAAGAGCGTTGCAGATAGGGCAGATTTTGACATTAGAAAAGCAGCCTGGCTTTTTTTAAGCAATTTGCCAGAAGGGGAATTCCGTTCTGAAACTTCCTGTATTGATGGTGTGATGTTCCCTGCTGATTCATTTGCAGTGTGTACAGCGGCCTCCCTGAACAGCTCTTGACAAACATATGCAAATCATAGTGGAAATTAGCTTCTACTTCCTTCTAAGGGAATTTTTTCTTGGCTGCTGCCAAATCAGATCAGCCCAATTAGCCGCCTTCTATACATTGTGGGTTAGTAGCAGGGACTGAAAAAAAAGAAAAGAAAAAACAAATCTCTACTTATTTCTCACTTGATCTTTAAGAGACTGGTAAATACTTGCCTGCCTGTGTAGAGCAAAAGTGAAATCTGGAGTTGGAAAAAGCCTTTTCTGAGCATCTTCTGGTTGCTCATGTCAGCTTTTCTCTGATCTGGGTCCTTAGTGAAGGTATCTGAAGTGTCTCTATAGGTGTTTTGTTGTGAGATGTGTAGTGTTTGTAGTGTTGTTTTGGTACATCTCTGTTTTCCCTAGCAGTTTTAAGAGGAGGGTGAGGACAGGAGGAAGGGAAGTGAGTTTCTGTGTGCTGGTAGAGCTGCACTAGCACTAACAGCACTTGGAAATGCCTCTCGTGGGGAGCAGCCTGTTTCGGTCATCACTTCACGCCAGTTTTAGCCTTGCCCACTTTTGGAAGTAGAGCATGGATTGTAGGTTGAGTTTTGGCTCTCAAACCCTTCAGAAAATAAAAGCTGCTGAATTTGGTTACTTTAGAGGTGGGCGGGGGAAAATGCAGAACTTATTTCACCTAGGAAGTGGCTTTTGCATATGCAAAACAAATCTGGGTTATATTTAAGAATTCTTGTGAATTTGCTTTCATATAGCTCACGTGATGCAGCCTGGCGTAGTAACTCTTAGACCCCTAATTTCTTTTTCTTAACAGCAAAGAAATGGCTGTAAGTGTTCTTAGCCCTTGAAAATACTTTAAATCCATTATTAGGGTGATAATATAGTACTTTTTCATCTAAATGCATAGTGCTGTAGCTGCCTTTTTTGCTTTCCTTCCCTTTAATATCTACTGCTTTTAGCACCTTTCATGATTTTGTAAGAGGGTAGCTGCCTTTTTTGCTTTCCTTCCCTCTAATATCTACTGCTTTTAGCACCTTTTATGATTTTGTAAGAGATTTGACCTTCTGTGAGGGAAGTGGAGGAGAGCATAAATTTATGTCTGTCAGCAAAAATAAAGTTCTACAAACTATTGCACTGGAAACACTTGCAACACGGATAAGAGCGGGGCTCAGCAGTAGAAGGATGTGGTGGAGGTGGGAGCCAGAGTGTGATCCCTTGGGCTGTTTTCCCTTTCCAGCACTGCCTCCCCTTCCACCTCCGTGCTTGGGCCTTGCTGTTGCACTTGCCCTGTCCCAGCTGTGCTGTTTAGGGGTGAGTGTAACCCCCTGTCTCGAGCCTCCACATAGAGGCAAATTTCTTGCTTGGTGACAGAGCATCTTCCCTGCCCTAAACCTGCTCTGCTCTTTAATGCTTTCCTCTTGCTACTTCTTGCCCAATTACCTACGTTCTCCTTTCTCTCCCCTTTTGCACTTCCACTCTCCTGTTCCTTTCTCCGCAGAGATCCTCGGTGTGCACTTAGATGCTTTCTAACTGGAATGTGTGCTCCGTTTGTTCCGTGTGCTGCCCCGGGCTGCAACTGCAGCCCTGTGTTTCCCTAAGGATTTGCACAGCCTTCCTAACAGATCCCACTCTGCCCCAAAGCTGGGGTTCCTGCTTGCAAAATGTCCCTTTTGCTACTGGAGCTCAGTGCAAACATCTAGGGTCCCAACTAAGCACTTGTGTCCTGTTTAGGCTGCCAGATATTTTCTGTGCAAGAAACTTCATTTTTGAAATTTTGTAACTTTTTTGCAAGTGTTCATTGCACTACCCTAACTTGCACAGTTGCAGCTTGTGCTTCGTAGTATTTCTTGTTCTGTTGGCTCCCCAAATGCTTACACAGGTGTCCCTTAAGATTAGGCAGAGTTACAGTGCAAAAGGTCCTTGCATCTGTTTGGCAAACTAAATGGGATTGAGATTTGGAGCTTCGTTTGAGTGGGCAAGTGAAGAGGTAGATTGGGGATTGCACCCAGGTGGGGAAACATTACTGAAATCCTCCTGAATTATGAGACTGATCTTAAGGATAGCTGATCTTGCCTTGTCCTTCACCCTGAAATGCAGGCCCTTAGATCACTCATATTGAAAGCTGGCCAGAACTGTTGCCTACAGAACTAGCAACACTGTAAATACTGGAATTCCTAGAACAGGATGGCTGATTTTCTTTGAGAAATTTAGAAGTTTCTGGAAACTTATTGGTGCAACTTAATAATTAAGTAGTTGTTCTCTATATTAGCAAGTAGCTTCTGACACTATTGACAACCTTTTCTTTCCCTTGACCCTGACTGCCAAGTATCATCAAATTATTAAGCACTGATTGCTGTTTCATGCAAATGGGGCACTTGTAACTGATGTTCTGGACACCAATATCCTCAGTACTGCTGTCTTTGGAGTAAAGGTGCATAAAATGTCCTGCTTTCACTAAATTGACAGATAACTTTAACAAAACCACCTAAAGAAGATGCAGATGCACTGAGGGAGGAGAGTTATGGTGCTAGCTAGCAAAATAGGAGGAAGGGTAGTTCAAGGATTCTGCTATACTTGAGGCAAAACATAGGAAAGAGCTGAGGAAAAAAGACTGGAAGTCGTGATTGCTCCATCCTCCTGCTGAGGGTTTGGGTATTTTTTGGTATATTGGGTTGCTGAAAGCAGCAGTAGCTCTCTGAAGATCTTGATGCTATTTACCCAGGTTTAAAAATACTCCTTCTGCTACTCTGATATTTCACCAAAGGTTGTCTAAACTGCTGGATCCGTTTGCTTAGAGAACTGTCTGACTAGTCTGAACGTTGCGTAAATACTGAAACCCTCACAATTGTCTTCTCCAATGCAGCCATGGAAATAAAGAAGTGTTCTCCTGCCGAGGTATCCTTCTGGCTGTACAGTGGTTTTGGGACAGAGGACACAAGGATATTACAGTCTTTGTGCCATCTTGGAGGAAAGAACAGCCACGACCAGATGTACTTATAACAGGTGTGGAAATATGAAAACCAATAGTAGCTTTTCAGACTTACTGCTTTGTCACTTAATGAGCTTGCAAAGTTCTGGCTAGTTAGTAATTAACTCAGGGAAGAGCTGAGTGGTAGGAGATCCACTGAACTCTGCTGACCGGTGAGATTTAAACTCATTAACTTCTCCCCTACATAAGTTCTTGCCTGGATCGCTTGGAATAATTCAGAGAACAAACACTGTAATTCTCCTCTTTGCTTCCTAGCTTGTGTTCTTTCATCATTTGAATGTTTTTCCTTTCAGTGATTCATCTTCATGCTATGTATTTAATATATTTGATACTACAGATTGCACAGAACTTTTCCAACATGCTGCAAGTTAAAGCTTGATGAAGGTTTAGAATTATTTACATTAAGGGGAATTTGCTCTGTACTTGCAAACAACTGAGTTTTCTAAGTAAATCCACTCAGAAGATATTTCTGCATGCTGTAAAGCACCAGAAGAGATGCTAGCTTGCCAATCTTAAGTGCAAATCAACACTCTGTTCATACAATTTTGGGAATAAAAACCCTTGCTGTATTGCAGCAGCTTCTGTGGTTCCTGAATGGTTGTAGGTGCTATACAGGCACCAGGGCAAGGAATTTTCCTCTGACAAGCCTAGCAGATGGCATAAGAGCCGGGAGTAGAGGCTGAATTGTAGAAAGATAAAATGACTTCATTTCTTGTCTTTTTTTAATATCACGTTATCATCAGTGCGGGGGGCGTTTGGGTTATGTGCGTTTGTACAAGTGTGTTCACAGTTGTGTTTGTTCTAGACCAGTACATTCTCCGTGACCTTGAAAAGAAGAAAATTCTGGTCTTCACTCCTTCCAGGCGAGTTGGAGGCAAGCGAGTTGTCTGTTACGACGATCGATTCATTGTGAAACTGGCCCATGAGTCTGATGGCATTGTGGTTTCTAACGACACTTACCGGGACCTGCAGAATGAGCGTCCTGAGTGGAAGAAATTCATTGAGGAGCGTCTGTTGATGTATTCTTTTGTAAATGACAAGTATGTTTCCGTTTTTTCTTAGCTTCAAAAAAGTGCCAAGTGAGCAGGCTGTCTTGTGATAATGAAGCAATAGCATGTGACACGTGAAAAGAGCAAAAGGCTGGTGCAGAGTGGGGAGAAAACAGAAATATAGCAGCCAGGAGCCCTCTTTTGTAGAAGGAAGAGTGACTAGAAGAGCTGCCCAGCTGTGAGGTACAAATTGGAGTCACCTTAATTGCTCTTCATGGTTTGGAGCTGGGAGCTCTGCTTTCCTGGAGTTCCAGAGAGGCTCCAGGGCTTGGTTTCCTCCCAGGATGTTAACAGGCTGCCCAGCAGCAAGTTCTACCTTCATGTAAAAAGCACAGACCTTCCTCAGAGCCTCAGGAGAAGCTCTTTGTGCTAGTCCTTGCCAGGGGGCTGGAGAGCCCTCTCCAGTGAGGTGGGAAGGCTTTTTAAGGATCAAGTAGCTTTTAACTTTTCATTGAAGTGGGAGACTTCTAGAAGAAAAGAAACTGTGATGCTGGAAAGTGAAATGCTTCTGACTGAGACTTTTTTTTCTCTTTAGGTTTATGCCTCCAGATGATCCTTTAGGGCGACATGGCCCCAGCCTGGATAACTTTCTGAGAAAGAAACCTGTGGTGCCAGAACACAAGAAACAGCAGTGCCCTTATGGTAAGACCTGTCTTCTAAACATGGAGACTGCAGTGCCTGTACAAAGAATAATTCATGCCTTTAGTGAATTTTAGCTGGAATTTTAGAATTTTAGCTGAATTTTAGAATTCCAAGCTCTTGTCTCTCCCTTGCAGGGAAGAAATGCACTTATGGAATTAAGTGTAAATTCTACCACCCTGAAAGGATCAATCAGCCCCAGCGCTCGTTAGCAGATGAACTCCGAGCCAATGCAAGGTTGTCTCCCACCAGAAGTAGCAGTGCTGCCAAGGAAGAGAAGAAGGGCAAGAAAGCTTCCCAGGCAGAGCTCTTGTGCTCTGCGCCAACAGACTGTGATAAAAGCTCCCTGCAGAAGGTCTCTGCAGAGAGGAAAAGCTTGACTCATAAAGCAAAACCCAGCGATGTGCCGCTTCAGGTCACGGGCTCTGTGTCAGGAGGTGTCCCCCCTAATAACGGGAGCCACAGATCTTCTGACAGGTACCAGCCTCCTCCCGTGGACTCTCTCTCGTACATCTCTCAGGAGCACCTCGACTCGGGCATCGGGTCTCTGGAGAGCCAGATGTCTGACATGTGGCCTTACCGGTGTGCGGGTCCCTGCGACCACGCGCACGCGGAGCAGGCGGCGTGCGCCTGCGCGCGGCAGAGAGCCAGCTACCCGCCGTCCCCCGGCGTGGAGCACAACGGCCTGCTCCCCTACAAGCACGGCTCCCACAAATCCCCCTCCTCCAGCACCCCCTTCTTGCAGTACAGCCCCGAGGTGCCTCGCTCGGGGCCGCCTCGCTCCTTCTCGGGCTACGGAGTGCCCGTTCACCCGGCGAACGCTGGGCACTACAGTCTGCCCGGTGAGT